CTGTGATGTATCATTATCCCCACGAAGCATACGAAGAAACAGGCAACTAGCCTACTCGAGTGTCTCCTCTAAGGTCACTAAACCAGCCTTGAAAAGCTATTACTAGCGGGACTGATGCTAATGGGCATGCGCAAAAGGCCCCAAGGCTCTAGGAGCGTCCCCAGTGGTCAATAGGCCTCAGTGCAATTGAGTTCAACCACATTCGGCTTCTAGCCCCGCCTCTCGTCCCGCCTCTTCCGCCCAGCGCGGACATTGATTGGCAAGCGGCGGGCTAGAAGAATTTGAACGGGAGCGGTACAGTCTCATGCACTTGCGTCAGTTAAGAAGCTTGGTTCTTGGTGAATGAAAGGCGGAGGAGAGCTCAAAACACTTCTACGGCCACCGGCCCGAGTCCCAGAGCTTGCCAGCCTCATCCTAGGCCAGCGGTTCTCAACCTGTGAGTCGCGACCCCTTTGGGGGTCAAACGACCCTTTCACAGGGGTCGCCTAAGACCATCGGAAAACACATCTATAATTACATATTGTTTTTGTGATTAATCACTATGCTTTCATTATGTTCAATTTGTAACAATGAAAATACATCCTGCATATCAGATATTTACATTACGATTCATAACAGTAGCAAAATTACAGTTATGAAGTAGCAACGAAAATAATTTTATGGTTGGGGGTCACCACAACATGAGGAACTGTATTAAAGGGTCTCGGCATTAGGAAGGTTGAGAACCGCTGTCCTAGGTGATGACGTGACCCGGGAATTGACAGGTCGCCATGTCCAGAAGGAAATTGATGGGCTCAGGGGTGCCAGGCCTTGGTTTGACTGTCCCAACTGCTGAGAGAATCCTCCATCAGTGAGGCCTAGGCATCACCTGGGGAAATTCCCTGACGCCATAGCGTTATGTCTGCGGAGCCGGGTCCTCTGGGTTTAAGATTAAACAATGTGTAAAAACCAGACCTGGTACCAGAGTCTCGGCCTTCTGTCCTCAGCTGGGTCCCTGAGAGCATTTGCTGGGCCACGGACTTGTGTTGCAGTCCTGGCTCTGCTAATAACTGCTGCTGAGCAAGTTCCTCTGCCTGTCTGGGCCCTATTTCCTCACGATTAGAGAGGTTGGACTCGGATAAAGTATATATTGAACGCCAACAATGAGCCAGGCATGGTGGTAAGTAAAGAGATACAGGTGAGCAAAACAGCCCTGATCCCCAAACTTACCGTGTGGAGAGGGAGAAAGATAATTAAAAGAACTATCACAAACACATAGTTACACACCTACTTTTTTTAAATCCTTACCCGAGGACATGTTCATTGATTTTTAGAGAGAGGAGAAGGGGGAGAGAGAGATAGATAGATATTATTGGTTGCCTCCCATACATGCCCCAATCTGGGATCGCACCCGAAACCTAGGCATGTACCCTGACCTGAATCCAACCCGTGGCCTTTCTGTGTAAAGGATGACACTCCGCCCAACTAAGCCACACCGTAACTTATGCAGAAAGGAAATAACATCACAGCCAGGGCTACACATCTACTTTTAAGAAGTGGTACAGGAAACTTACACAGACATTTAATAGAGCCCGGTGTGGACTTCTTAAAGCTGAAAGTAAAATTTAACTGGGATAGGTAGTCAATGGCCCAGAGAGAGGGAGGATAGCAGTGCAAAGATCTGGAAAGTGAACGATAAACATTTCTTATTTTAATTGGATATCATAACAACCCTCAAAATATATAAGAAGGTTGGAAGCTTCAGTGAATTAATTTGAATAGAGCTTGGGGAGATCTTTGGAAATCCATAACTATTTCAGTTCTGTGAACATATGTGGTGGCCCCTGACCCTGTGTCCTGACATGAGTATTCCAAAAGATTGTTGAGTCTGATTTGAACAATCCAAGTTCCAAGTTGCATGTTGGGTGGTAACTGTGATCTGACTTTGAGGGATGTCTCCTGGCTGTTTCAGAAGAGCTAAAAATATTAGTGCTCTCTTGAAGCAATCCATGTCCACCTCATGCTTAATTACCCAGGCTTGTTTGCAAAGATAAAGAGATGAGGGAGAAGTGGCTGTAAAGTGACAGAAAATGAAATCAAGGGCTGGTCACTGTACCTTACAAAAGTACTTTTGTAGAGGGGACACCATGACATGGCAGAAGTGAGACAACTAAGGTAGGAAGCAGGCCCTGCTTTGCCCTACATTAGCTGTGTGAACCTGGCACTCAAACTCTGAGCAAGTTTCTTGATACAGGCATACTGATTTTTATTGCACTTTACTTTATTACACTTCGCAGCTGTTGTATTTTTTACAAGTTGAAGGCAACAGAACAACAACAACAAGAATTGAAGGCAAGGCACCACCAGCAAAAATATTTTGAATCACTTTATTGTGGTGGACTGGACTGAACATGCAATACCACTGAGACATACCTGTTTGTAAACAGCACTAATTATGTGTTACTGACATGGTGAAGTTCAGAATGGGAAAACATGTGAAAGTTCTTTCTAAACTATAAAGTGCTACCCAGCCAAATCACTAATCACCTGGCTCACACTATTCCTTCAGAATTTTACTGTATATGCTCCTTCAAATTATGGGGGAGCAAGGATTTGACATATTTTATTTGAATTTGTAGCAATATGCCAAGTTGCTTTGTTGTATAATTATTTTGAATTCTTTCATTTTAATTAGTGTTTATCTGTTCCAAAAGGTAGTTTTACAATTTCACATGTGGGTGCACTCTGCTTCTTGGGAGGACATCTGTGCCTTGCCCTTCCCCTTCTCCCCACCCTCTACCCCCCACCCCCAGGCACATTTCCTTTGCCTTTCTCTCTTCTGAATTCCAAGGGCTCTTCTGCCCCTGCAACTTGTTTCCTGAGTTTACCCAGCCCAGCTGGCTCACTTCTACCTCTAACTTTCTAAATAAATATTTTCTTATAATTTGAAATAAAATTTTACATGTGATTCTCTCCCTATCATTTTTTAACTGAGAAGCAAAAAAAAAAAAAAGTCAAACCGTTGACAGGAACTTCAGATTTTCTTTTTACTTATCCCACTGTGCAACACATTCAGTGACAATTAGGATTTTTAAAAAGTTGTTCATAGATGGTTTGTCAGGGAGCCTTCTGCAGTCTTTTCCTAAAATTCTCCAGAACATGGGAGGGATGAGAGCCTTTGCACCTAATCCTGGCTTCCTGCTGATACAGGACTATTAAAGGGGTGAGTCAGCTAGCTAGCCAGCCATGGACGTTAGTATGTTTTTAGGATAATTTTAAGAACAATGGAACTGTTTAAACAGTAGCAAGTATGCTTGGTAAAGAATCAGAAGTGGGAAACCAGTCATGTAACCAAAGCTACTGTCTGATTGTGAAGGTTGGCAGGGATGATTTTGAGGAACACAAGACTTAGGCCTGCTGGACCCGGGGTTCTGGTAACTTATGCAGAAAGGAAATATCACATGCCAGCATTGATGGGCATGTCCACTTACTCTGTTCATTCCCAAATATGTAATATCCCAAGTAGATATTTTGTTAATCCTCACATTTTTCCCATTAATTTTTAGAGTGGAAGGGAGAGGGGGAGATAGAAACACTGATGTGATACATCCACTGGGGCCTGGGATCAAGCCTGCAACCAAGGTACTGCCCTTGACCAGAATCGAACCCAGGACTCTTAGTTTGAGCCAAAACAGATAGGGAAAAGATCTTAAGTTTTCAGAGCTTTACATCATTGTTCAGAGAACTAAAAGATGGGTGGAACTGGACAGTTTTATTCACTATGAAAACGTTAGCACTTGTACATATGTGGGTCTTCTGATTATCAGATCATTCTTTCCAAAGGTTTTTCGCTCTATTAGATTTTTACTGTATTGAAAGATGTTTTAAAAAGCCAGCCACCCCTAGGCCGTATTAACATGAGTCTTGCTGTAGTGATCATTTGCAATTGTATTTACTGTATATTTGTCCCAATTAAAAAATTTTTGAGATAAGTAAACACCAATTTGTTATTCCACTCATTTATGCATTCATTGGTTGGTTCTTGTATGCAGCAGAATTGAACCTGCAACCTGGCACACCGGGATGCTCTAACCAACTGAACTACCCAGCCAGGGCTTATATCCCAATTTGCCAATTGATTTTCAGTTGTTCTACATGCTGTGCTTTCCTTTATGACCTACTTACCTGACATGGGGTCTCCCCATGGGATCGCTGTGCAGAATAACATTTGTATTAGCAGTGCTGACCCTTAGCTGGTGAAAGTTACTAATAAGTGGCACTTAGCATGTGGTGTGGATCAGTCATCTTTGAGAAGCATGCCTCATTGCTTCACAAGTGGAAACTGCAAAATTTAACTCATTCTTTTCCTCATTGTGCCTTCCCCCTTTCTCAAACTCCTAAATTGTTTACCAAACATTTTCTGGGTACACCTAATGCATCTTATTTTGGAGCAGGACTAGCAAGTCCTGCTTTTCAACAACTTCTGAATCTCACTAATGGAGACAGACAGGGTAAGAACAGAATGTTCCAAGTGCCTCACACATTATAGGTGCTCTGAATATATGATGTCTTACAAATCCGAGTCCTATGGTGCCTTGGCATTTTTAAAAGTGAGCCTAGACCTGGCCTGTGTGGTTCGGTCACCCAGTGCACTGAATTCCCCATCAGGGCACATGTGGGAAGCAGCCAACCTATTCCCACTTTAGGTAATTGTTCAGTCTTACCCCTCACCCTGACAAGCTACATTTGTCAACTGCCAGGATTGTGCTTGGGAATTAGCAAAGAAACTTTCTAAATCTGAGGTCTGGACCCCTTCTCCTTGGACTCTTATTCACGTGCAGGGAACAAATCCTGTAAATCATAATCCTTACTCCCCACATGTAGTTCTCAATGCTGCAATATTAGATGCATTCTTTGTACAGTGTCTAGCTTGTGTCATAGCAGAAAAGGTTGGAAGCCAGCATTATAGAAGTGAGATCATCTTTATACAGGCACATCCCCAGACAATCAGCAAGCCCAACAGCAACAGAGGTCAGCTTTTATTGGCTGTGTTACAAAAGAGCCAGTTTAGTCAAAAAGACCAAAGCCCATGTCATCATCAGACTCCTCAGATTCTTCTTTCTTTGCTTCCACTTTCTTCTCCTCAGCTTAAAAGGAGAAAAAAAAAAGGTAAATTACACACCTTTATTTTGAACTCCAAAGAGCTATAGGCCCTTCAACTTACATGCTCAAAATACCCCAGACTTCCCTCATCAAACTATGTTTCTGGTTTTAGGATTGCTAGACATCATCTACTTAGTAAATTAAGGGCAATTTTGCCTCTAATTAGTTTCCTACCTGGGGCAGCAGCGGTGGAGGGGGCAGGACCTCCTGCTGGTGCAGCACTAGCTGCAGGGGCAGGTCCACCAGCCCCTACATTGCAGATGAGACTCCCAATGTTGACATTGGCCAGAGCCTGCAACACAAGTGCATACAGAGGTTAAGTGCTCAGTTCTGTCCATGTTATAATACTCACCCAGGAAAAAAAGTACCAGCCCTTTGAACTTACAGTGACCTACCCCCACCACTATCTATAATAAAAGCATAATATGTGCCGAAACCGGTTTGGCTCCGTGAATAGAGCGTCGGCCTGTGGACTGAAAGGTCCCAGGTTTGATTCCGGTCAAGGGCATGTACCTGGGTTGCGGGCACATCCCCAATAGGAGATGTGCAGGAGGCAGCTGATCGATGTCTCTCTCTCATCGATGTTTCTAACTCTCTATCTCTCTCCCTTCCTCTCTGTAAAAATCAATAAAATATATTTAAGAAAAAAGACATAATATGCTAATTAGACTGGGAAGCCCCGGTGGGGAGGTGCCGCAGCTGGGGGAAGGAAGGCTTACGCTTGCATGAATTTCATGCATCAGCTTCTAGTATAAACATACATAAATTTCTCTTCCTTCTCCTTTGCTGGAATCTGCCAGTGACAGCTTGTCTGCTATTCAGATTCCCTAAAACTTAACAACCCACACAGCTATACTAAAAATAAGCAATCGTAAATCTCATAGCTGCATGGCTATGTTTTAAGTAGTAAGGTACAGCTAGCTGAATTCCTTTTATAGATGAGAAAATTGGCCCCAAAATGCTGGTTTAACTTAACACTCAAGCTTCCTTAAGTCAGGGTTTTTCCCAGTTCCACGTCTCCTCTTAGCAGTGAATTCTATTTTTCAGACTGCTAAGTAATTCTAGGAAATTTATTGAAGATGATAGAGGTACAATGTTTTCAATCTTTCAAAGCTCTTTGCAGGACACAGGTGAACAGTTAGCATCCACAAGCTTCACTTGCTAGAGATTCAGTAACCTGTAGAATGGAAGGCAGCCAGTGCCAAATTCCTTGGGCAGGGGTCTTGTCTTTTATCTCCTAACACACAGTAAATGGACAATAAAAGGCCACACCCAATTTCCATTAAAGCATGCTATCATACTAGAAGGATTTGCTTGTAATAGCATGGGAGTTATCTTCTGGGTGGCCCTTGTAAAGGAATCACATGGTTAATTCTTTTACCATGGTTTCTAAGCAGAAGAAAAGAGAAACCAATCTGAGATCAAGACAAACACAATAGAAATAAGGAAATATCACTTAAGAGTTATTTATTTTTTGGATATTGGCATGAACACCTTCCTTAGTAATCAGTAGATCTTCCCAAAGTTACCTCTCCAAATCACCTTACCTTTGCAAACAAGCCTGGCCAGAAAGGCTCAACGTTCACACCGGCTGCTTTAATGAGGGCGTTGATCTTATCCTCCTGAAACAGATAAAATGACAACCCATCAGAGACCAAACCGTAGCTTTCTGATGTCTCCAAAAAGTTGAAAAAAAATAATTCAAAACGTGTGTACCGAGCCATGTGTATCCAGTTTCACTATTCTACCTGCATCTTATGTTTAAGAGGACCCTTTCTTACACTCCTTTGGCCGTCACGGTAACAGAAATGCCATCTGGTCCCGTGTGGCAAGTTCATCGCAGCCATTTCACGGGCTGGGAATGTGCCCAAGTCTCGCTATTTTAAGTTACGAGTAAAGGCTGGGAGGTGGAGCAGAGCTCACGCGCTCTCCTCCACACCATACAGGGCCTACTAGGAGAACCAAAAGAATCCAAAATGATATAGAACTGGCTGCGGATCAGGATGCCCACGCGCTGCCCAAGTTCCTCCAAATACAAGTTCTCAAGGCCAGAGCGCGCCATCGCACATGTAATCCAGCCCCGACCGCACCCGGCACGTGGCCGAGGCCCCAGGCCAACTCCCACGTGGGGCCACCTGTTGGGCG